ATTTCTGCTCAAAAGAACCCATCTTCAAAAATATCAGTTAGCACTGGAGTCAGGAATCTAATGATGGATCCCCTCTTGTTCCCCAAAAGTATCTGGAACCAAAAAAAGTGATGTAGTCAGGATAAATTATTCAGACTACAGAATACACACCCATTTAACTTGTGCCTTTTATTTTAGCTGTGGTGTGTTTTTCACTAGTTGTGAAGCAGAATCAAGATAATTCTTGCAGTACTTTTCTAGGCCCTAGATCAGGTATAGGCAAACTTGGCCCTCCAGATGTTTTGGGACTACAGTTCCAATCATCCCTGACCACTGGTCCTGTTAGCTAGGGATCATGGGCATTGTAGTCCCAAAACATCTGGAGGGCCGTGTTTGCCTATGCCTGCCCTAGATGAACATCTAGTCAAGCTGATCTGACCTGCACACAGCTGTTGAGCTGACAGTTGTGCCTTTTATTTTAGCACCTGTCTACTTACAGAGACAGGTGAATAACATGTCTCTATGGGATAGCTGACTAGCCAGAATCTGAACTAAATTAACAGAGCCATCCATACCCAAGATCCACTGGGATGAGAGAGTTTGGAATAGATGGAACTTGGGCTGTCCCAGCTAAGCTCAGCTGACACAACTCCCTCATCACAGCGCAGAAAGGGATATGCCTACACAACTTCCTCAACCCAGCTGAGCTAAGGCTATGCTGACTCAGCCAGTGGAACTTAATGATGTACTTACCCCTGTTCCAAACCATTTTCAGTTCAGTCACATGAAACTTACATCAGCAAAAATGGGTGGTGTTGGTAAAATTCTATTTCCAAGGCTTGTTTCCTATCTACCAGGCTTGAGGTAGGATTTGGAATAGGGGTAACTAAGATTGACTTAACTTAAAAAGGTAAAGGGACCCCTGACCATTAGGTCCAGTCACGGACAACTCTGGGGTTGCGGTGCTCATCTCACTTTATTGGCCGAGGGAGACAGCGTACGGCTTCCGGGTCATGTGGTCAGTATGACCAAGCTGCTTCTGGCAAACCAGAGCAGTGCACAGAAACGCCGTTTACCTTCCCGCCGGAGCAGTACTTATTTATCTACTTTCAAACTGCTTTCAAACTGCTAGGTTGGCAGGAGCTGGGACCGAGCAACGAGAGCTCACCCCATCACAGGGATTTGAACCGCTGACCTTCTGATCGGCAAGCCCTAGGCTCAGTGGTTTAACCCACAGCGCCACCCGTGTCTGACTTAACTTAAGCTGGTGTAAATTCCACTGCCTCACTATACAGTCATACCTCGTGTTGCATTAGGTTCATGTTGCGTCTTTTCGGCTTGCGAACGTGGCAAACCTGGAAGTGTATACTTCCGGGTTTCACAGTGTGTGCATGTGCAGATGTGCTCTATTGTGCTGCATGCGTGTGCATAAGCAGCGCTCTAGTTACAGACTTTTCAGGGTGCAAACGGCACCCCAGAATGGATCGAGTCCCTAACTAGAGGTACCACTGTACATGGGATTGTTCTGCCAGAAAGGCCATGCAGAGTTGGCAAAAATTGAAGGAAGCGAAAGGGGAAGTACTGTGTCTGATGGGGAAAGGTCAAGAGAACAATGGGGGATGTTAAAACTGGATGGTCAGTAGGTATAAGGAAAGGAACGGAAAAGAATGGCGAGGGCTTTGTTCCATCTTTTGGAAAGGCCTCCTCTTTTGCCCAATATCTTACAATGCCATTTTATGCAGGTGTCACACAGTGTTGATAACTGATGCAAAGGTACCAGGAAGTCATCAGCAATTTTTTGCCAGCATATGGGGGGGGGGGATATAGTTTAAGGAAAGAAAATAAGGTATAAAAAGCGGGAGAGAAAAGATAACAAATGTCAGGCAAATTAGGCAAGACACCATAAAAGAAACAGTGACCTCTGATCATATTGTGCTGCAACTCAACAATTAGCAGGTTCCACCAGGGGAGTAGAAGCTCGTGGTTGTGTGTAGCTCTAATTTTTTTTTAGGGTTTATACACTCCAATATTATTGCCAAGAGGGTCTGGCTGCATACAGACAATACATTTAACACTTGTGGCTTCTCCCAAGGAATCTGGAAACAGTATTTTATTCAGCAGGGAGCTACAATTCCCTGCACACTTAATGAACTACACCTCCCAGGATTCTTTGGGGCTGGTCATGTGGCTTAAGCACTTTAAATATATGGCATGTATGTAGCTTCTCTGATGGCCTTTCTTGAGTTTGCTCTTGTATTTTATAACTGCTCAGAAAAAGTACCTGTGCTGAGAACCAGGAGGCAGCTGTTTATGTTTGTTTTGCAATTTTGTATTTGAGTGCAACAAATATGATTTTGCCTTTTTAAAACAACAGCAGCAACACACTGAACAAATGTTAGAATTTCTTAGGAACTTAGAACCTTTGTGACAAATACATGACCTTCTTACGTCCTTATAATCAGATGATTGCATATCCCACTTTATTTATTTTCTTAGCATATCGAGACAGGGGAAACCTTGATTTTGTTCCCCCTTTGTTTGTCATTGTGTAGATTGCAGATATTGGCTACATCTGTTTCCTGTGAAGGAAGCGTCACTGCTGCCTTTGTCCAGCAGGTGGAATACTTGCTGCGGTTTTGATAAAGCCAGAAATCCTAATGCGGCATTCTGATTTGTTTTTTAAAAATCAAATTCCTGAGGGGCACGTTTGACAAAGAAGCATGGATAAGGAATTTTTAGCTTTTTTCCAAGCACACTAACTGAGAACACTGTGTGAGCCTAGAAAATGTGAGTATGAATGATATCAGGCAAAGCAGTGGATGAAAATATACCGGTATGCCCTTGGTTTGACTGAGAACACTTGCCACTATTCTTTCCTTTGTTTCTTTCCATTTATTTTCTTTTTCTTTTTCTGTTTCCTCCCCCTTTTCCACTCTCTTCTCAAAGGTTTAACTGCACTTAAGAGGGGGGAAACTACTTAAATATATAAATATATAAATATATAAATAAATATATACTACTTAAATATATATATATACTGGAGATATTTGTAAAACGAAATCAGTGACTAATCCAAACCACAACAAGGTGGTCTTAATTTTAAAATATTGTCTCCTCCCCCCTTTTTAAAGGACCCACATTGTTTATGGAAGGGACTCATGTGACACCATGTGTGAACTTACTTTTATTGTTTAAAATATTTTTAGACCACATTTCATTCAATCAGATTCCAAATACAATAGTATAAATAAGAATTAATCATACCAAATACAAGATGTACTAAGAAAATATTCCTAACAGAATGTCAGAATTGGAGGCAGCATTAAAATTATTAAAATTGTAAGGCAGTCTAAGGCAATGCAACCATTTAAATTGCCTGGACAAATAGACACATTTTAACCTGGTGCTGGAAAGAATATAATGCCCACACCACATATTTTTTGGGATATTTTTCTTTTAAAAAAGAAAGAAAAACAATAGCTGGTGCAGCAGCCCCAATCCAGACAGAGGCCATGGTGGGGGTCATGTAGATTTAACCTCTTCTTCCTTGCCATTTTCCCAATTTGGATCATGCCCCCCCCATCTCCTATTTGGCATTGGAGAAAGGTTTCTATTCACACTGATGAAAGCTTTCTTGTCCATGTTAAATTTCACCCCATTCTTCTGTTATCCTATCTGAAAAACTCTCCCTCACTGCACATAGCAGCCATGATGAAAACACTCCCCATGCCTGTAATTAATTTGTTTTAAAACAGCAACAACGAAAACCTGGTGTTCTTCCAGCGACACCTTTAGTGTCATATTGAATTTGGCTCTTCTTAAGTATAGTTTTCCCTCTGCCTCGCCTGTTTTATTTTTGTTCAGCCATGATCATGAGAAAAGCCCACATGCTTGGCTTCTGGCCACACTCCCCCCCCTCTCCCGCACCCACACCCACCCACCAGATCCATGCAAACAGCACCACAGAGAAACAATGTCCATACCACAGTTGGTGTGGATTAGTGTTCTCTCTATTGCTACTACAGTAGTACCTCTGGTTAAGAACTTAATTCATTCCAGAGGTCTGTTCTTAACCTGAAACCGTTCTTAACCTGAGGTACCACTTTAGCTAATGGGGCCTCACGCCGCCGCTGCACAATTTCTGTTCTCATCCTGAGGTAAAGTTTTTTAAACCTGAGGTACTACTTTTAGGTTAGCAGAGTCTGTAACCTGAAGTGTTTGTAACCCAAAGCGTTTGTAACCTGAGGTACCACTGTACATTAGTTTGAAGCCCATGCCACTTTCTGTGAAAGGTTTTGAGAGATATGGCCAAACATTACCACTGCAATATCAGTAGTGTGTTTTTTCCATTTGGCCTGTTCACATGCTCTCATTTCCCTACACACACATTTTGCCCTCTAATTTGTATTCCTACAACAGATAAATTCACTTGAATTGGATTGTAGCCAGTTACAGAGAATAGCAATCTCTAACAGTTATTTCAGTGCAAGGGCAGGTTTAGGGTTGTGCGAGCACGACATACACACACTGGGTGCTGAGTTGAGGGGGGAGCCTTTTCAAAGCCTGGTAAGTGAGGCCTCCTTCTCAAAGACTAGTTAGTACTGTCCCAGTTTTGGGAAGGAGGTTGGAGGGCTCTAGGACCCTGCCAGAGCCTCACACCTGCTTCCCAAAGCCCCATGATTTCTTACTCTGCTTTGGGAAGGCAGCAGAAGGGCTGGGGGGGGCAATAAAAACTTTGGCCTTGCACAGGGCACCATATTATCCAGGTCCACCACTGTTCAACTATAACATTACTGCGACAGCACCCACCTGGTTTGTACTAATATCTCCCACCACCACCACCACCTTATGTAATTGCAAATGACGAAAAGCTGTGGCTACTCATATGTAGAGCTAATATAGCACCTGCTATGTGTGAAACCATAATTTCTGAGGGCCACTATTGCACACAGAATTGCAGAGTTGCAAAGGGGACCCAAGGATCATCTAGTCCAACCTCCTGCAATGCAGGAATATGCAGCTGTTCCATACAGGCATCAAACCTGCAGCCTTGGCTTTATCAGCACCATGGTCTAACCAACTGAGCTATCCAGCTGATATGTGTTTGGCATGTTGGAGACATGATGGAGACTACAATTCATACAGTTGGTATTTCCATGAACTTTCTGCTGAGCCAGAAGGGCAGGCCACCGCCAGCTCCACATGCTCTTGTGGATGAGCACATAAGGAAACCAAGGCTGGCTGCATGAACAGGCCCAGCCTATCTGTGAAATCGTTGAAGCTGAAGCTGGCAGCTATGTAAAGCACTAGTTTTTAATTATTCACAGCTGAACAGAAGTGAAGTTATACCTAATTCTGATGTTGCCTTTATTGATGCATTCTACAGAAAGCATGATGCCCAAATTAGAAGTGTTTATTATGCATCTTTTCCAAGTGCAGGTGGAGAATTAGAAATGGATGAAACAGATGTCTGCTGCAAGATAAAAACTTCAGCAATTATTTCTATTTTAAATCAGCCTTAATTGGATGTGGAAGTCAGTGAGCGTTCTTTATAATAGCGTTTTAAATGTATTGTTTAAGCAAAACTTTTATTTGTGGAGATCAGCACTTTTAAAAAAATGTTTATATGATGTACATATATGACACATCTGCAGAGTTTATAAGGGGATATTTAGAAGACTTACCAGTGGTGAATGAAAACTGCTCAATAGTTTGGATAATTTGTTGAAACAAACTCATTAATATAGCATGTGTGAGGGAGAGAGGGAGATATGCTTAGCTCCTCCAGTTTTTGGGGTGGGTGGTATTTCATAGATATTGGGAAGCAAGATGTGTGCAGTGACAATTGCTCTTACCAGGGATTTTATTTGCTGAAACTCTTTCCTTCATCCGCCTCTGCTGGTTCACATTCACATATACAGTGGTGCCCCGCAAGACGAATGCCTCGCAAGACGAAAAACTCGCTAGACGAAAGGGTTTTGCGTTTTTTGAGCTGCTTCGCAAGACGAATTTCCCTATGGGCTTGCTTCGCAAGATGAAAACCGAAAACGTCTTGCAAGTTTGTTTCCTTTTTCTTAACACCGTTAATACAGTTGCGACTTGACTTCGAGGAGCAACTCATAGAACGCGGTGTGGTAGCCTTTTTTGAGGTTTGTGAAGACTTTGGTATTTTTGAAGCTTTCCCAAAACTTCTTTTGCAGCCATTTGGTAAGTTAAACTTTTAAAACTTTTTGGGGGGTTTTTGGATTTTGGGTTGGGGTGTTTGGAATTCAAGGACTTGGTGTTGGGGAGGGGTTTGCAAGAATCTGGAAGCTTGTGTGTTTTTTTCTGCATTTTTATGATTTTCTGTGACCATTGGGCCATTCTGCTGGTTTTTTTTTAAAAAAATTCTGGATTTGAATTTCTGTGTGGTGGGTGGCTGGGGGAACAGTTGAGGAGGGGTTTGCAAGAATCTGGAAGCTTGTGTGGTTTTTTCCTGCATTTTTATGATTTTCTGTGACCACTGGGCCACTCTGCTGTTTTTTTAAAAAAATTCTGGATTTGAATTTCTGTGTGGTGGGTGGCTGGGGGAACAGTTGAGGAGGGGGTTCTTCAGCAAGAAGCAAAGAGTAGAAGAGGAACCTTCTTTGAGTTGTCCCCCAGAGTCTTAGAAAATGTACTGTACACTTTGTTGATTTTTAAATGTTTTTCTGTCATGTTTAGAAACTTAATTTATTGTTCCTTCCAGTTTTTGAAATGCTCTTTACAGTATGTGTGACTTTAAAGAGCACTTAAGACACTCGTGTTGTACCACATTTGGCTCGGTGTGGACTTTTTGACCATAGGAACGCATTAATTGAATTTCAATGCATTCCTATGGGATTTCGTGCTTCGCAAGATGAAAAATTCGCTAGACGAAAAAACTCGCGGAACGAATTAATTTCGTCTTGCGAGGCACCACTGTAATTTTATGTGGCTTGAAATCCTGAACTGTAATTGCTGCAATTAAGAGGTAGTAAGTCCTCATGCCCTCAAGCTGATTTCTTTCTGAATTACTAGAAACCTGAAACCCTTTTTGTTGTTTGTTACCTGCAGTCATTATTATCATATCACATGACAGTTTTTTGCTTTTGCTGTAGCTGATGAGGATGGTTATTCATTTGGAACTGGCTATTATATCACTGAAATACAGTATTTAAAAATTTCTATTAGAACATTTCTATTTATTTCCCCATGGCTTCTGAACTATCAGATTTTGCCGTTGCTGGGATCATAGATCAATGATATGTGACACTTTCACACATTCACAGACATTTCCAAACAACAACAGGAGGCTCACACAAAAATGTGGACTTGTTTTTCATTAAAAACAATAGGACTTTGGGACAGAAGACACATTATGATAAAGTAGTTTTGACATGCATGTTTATTTTTTGTACTTTTTTGCAATTACTCCAACCCCCTTCTCTCTCCCAATAAGGATTGGGATTACATCAGTGGAGGAGCTTTCAAAACACATTATTCTTATGCAATGATCACAATGTACCATTTCTTCATATGGACAGCTAAGACTACAGCATTACCTTTAGAAAATAAAAAGGTAAAGGGACCCCTGACCATTAGGTCCAGTCGTGGCCGACTCTCCGGTTGCGGTGCTCATCTTGCTTTATTGGCTGAGAGAGCCGGCGTACAGCTTCCGGGTCATGTGGCCAGCATGACTAAGCTGCGTCTGGCAAACCAGAACAGTGCACAGAAACACCGTTTACTTTCCCGCCAGAGCGGTACCTATTTATCTACTTGCGCTTGGACATGCTTTCGAACGTTGGCAGGTTGGCAGGAGCAGGGACCGAGCAACGGGAGCTCACCCCGTCGCAGGGATTCGAACCGCCGACCTTCTGATCGGCAAGCCCTAGGCTCTGTGGTTTAACCCACAGCGCCACCCATGTCCCTACCTTTAGAAAATAGTATACCCCTTTCACCTAGTCAAGCATTCTGATTCAACCAGCAGCTCACAAACAAGGTGTGGAAATGCCGCTCTTTCCATTTTTGTCTCCAGTGGAAGTCAGAGTTATACTTCCTTTGAAACAGCTGCAGTTTGTGAGGGATACAATAGGTTGGAAAAAGGGTAGAACTGCAAGACTGTTCACACCACAGAGAAGCATGTCCTCTGGAGCACAGTGTAACTTACTTCCAAGTAAACATCCACAGGACCAGACCACACTGCTGTGATCCTAAACACAGTGGCTTGGAAGTGCATTCTACTGAAGATCTGCTAAATGTATTTAGGACTGTGGCATCAGTGAGTCTGTAGGTGTAGTATTCCTGTAGTATTGATCCTGCTGATGTTTAATTCATGTACCACATTGAGGAGAATGACTACAGCAATAATCGGGAAATAATACACAGTTCCTCTGTTGATAGAAGCTTGTTTGTTGTTGCTATAGGTAATGCTGCCATTAACACTGTGTCAACATCAACACACTTGCACAAGGCGAGTGTCTACAGTGTATCATAGCAGCACAGGTGAGGTGAGAGCTGCAGTTCTACAGGAACATCTTGCAACTTTGATTTTTTAAGAAAGTTCTTCCCTACAGCTTCCTATATTATCTCAAAGAGCTTCAAACCTGTAAGTGGTTTCTAATTTAAGTGCATCCTGGGAATGTCAGGTACATACTTAAATATTTATCTCAGTGAATTTATTGTGGCCACATTTGGATACTAGGGAGCGAGCTGTTCTGTGATTACTTTGGGTTGTGACGGCTTCATTACATATGTTTGTGGTATTTTTGTTCTTTGCCTGGCATTAGATTAATATCTGTGTCAATCTTAGGAAGGACTGAGAATGTTTAAAATGAGGCAAGTGCATCCTCATCCTAAACATGACTACAGTAGTCATGCTTGGTCACACTGGTTGGACTATGAAATACAATGAAGTACAAGGATTCACAAATGTAATACCCTAGTACTTAACAACCTATTTTTCCTTTCTCTTGCATAAAATGGGCTGTGTTGTTGGATATATGTATGTGTATGTGTACACACACACACACACACACACACACACACACACGCAGACACACACACGTTTTTATCATAAAGATAAACTTTGAGGGATCAGCTTGCAGTGTGATTAATCAGAGTAAACCTGATATGGAGCCAAGAGTCCACCCATGGCTACTTTAGACCACTGGTACACTGTGGAATGTACTGAAAATACTGCAGTCTAACTTAACAAATGCCAACAAAAGGCAGATAAAGTCATGGGGCAGAATTCAACATTGCACTATGGTGAGCATTCTGTCAACCCAAGCATTGCAGCTTGCCTGAGAGAATGATCTCCCCTCTTTTCTATGCATCCTGTCCTAGGGGTTCTCCTGTTTCCTCAAGAGCCAATTTTGGGGGATGCAGAGGAGGGGGGATGATGGGAGGTGCAAGCCTCATTGCAAAGCAGAAACCCTCATGCCCTGACAGGACTCATTAGGTCAGAGGTCAGCAACCTAAGGCCCATGGGCCGGAAGTGGCCCATGAGGGTCGCTTAACCGGCCCATGAGCCACCCCCAAACCGAGCCGCCCACTCGGCAAGTCCTCGCACGCTGCGCTAAACCGGTGCAGCATGGCATGGGGACGCTCTTCTGTGGCTCCGGAAATCGCTTCTGCACATGCCTAGACGTCGAAAATCACATCTGCACATGTCCACGGTGCTGGAAATCACTTCTGTGCATGCCCAGATGCCAAAAACTGCACGTGCGCAGAAGCGATTTTCAGCATCTGGGCATGCACAGAAGCGATTTCTGGTGCTGCAGACATGCGCAGGCACGATTTCCGGTGTCGCACTGTGCCGGTCTGGCCCACGAAGGATCTCTGAGGGAGTGATCTGGCCCACGCCCGGTAAGCCTTGCCAACCCCTGCATTAGGTGAATCCCACCCAAGGCAATGACTTTTTTAATGCCAGTCCAAGAATCACTATTGCAATTATACTTGTGGTGCAGCTGGCTTAATGTTCAATCCCAAAAGTTGTTAAACCACAAAATTTATATTTAGTATGTGACAGACCACCACTACCACCCTAAAACTGTACAGAGTCAGAAAAAAAGACATTACTGCAGCTTCTC